TCAAAAAGAAGAATAATAAATGCTGGTGAGGATGTAGAGAAAGGGGGACCCTCCTACATGGTGTGGGACTGTAAATTAGTGCAGCCATTATGGAAAACAGCATGAAGCTTTCCCAAACAACTACAGATAGCACTGCCATATGATCCAGCAATCTCACTGCTGGACGGATACCCAAAGGAAAGGAAATCATCATGTCAGAGGGATACCTGCACTCCCATGTTTACCACAGCTCTATTTACAACAGTCAAGTTCTGGGATCATTCTAAATGCCCATTTATGGACTAGTAGATAAAAGAAAATGTGGTATATATAAACAATGGAATATTACTTAGCCATAAAAAAGAATGAAATTCTGCCATTTACAGCAACGTGTGAGAACTTGGAGAAAATTATGTTACGGAAACTAAGCCAGGCATAGAAAGAGAAATACCACATCCTCAGTCATAAGTGGGAGCTAAAAAATAAATAAATGAAAGAAAGGAAGAAAGGAAGAAAAAGGAAAGAAGGAAAGAAAGGAAGGAAGGAAGAAGGAAGGAAGGAAAGAAGGAAGAAAGAAAAAGAAAGAAAGGAAAAAAATCACAGTAATACAGTGAACTTTCAAAAGTGGAGAACAGAACTGTGGTTATTAGGGGGGCAGAGGGGTTGGTTAGCAAGAAATTGGTTAAGGGTCACAAAGAATGACTATGTTTTGTGAAGATGAGTATGCTAATTATCCTGATTTGATCATCATGTATTGTACACAGGTATTGATATTCAACTCTGTACCCCACAGATATGTATAATCACTTATGTTTTTAAAAAAATTGGACAAGTTTCACACATGTAAATCCCTGCAAAGTGAACTGAAGTCATCTTTTTTGATTTCAAATTAGAAATCAACAACTGTGATTAATAAGGACTGACGGGGAAGGCAAAGTGACTAATTGATGAACGCATTGGTGCATTAAAGTAAGCCACCTGGCAAACCTTTGTTATCATGGAAGATCTTATAATTTAGCTAACATTTTTATTTTATTTTTATATCTAGATTTAAGCTTTTTATGTGTTTATAAATGTAATTATTATAATTATTGGCTAGATTTCCATGCAAAAAAAGTGCCATGCAAAGAAAAGGTAAATAAAAAAATTTCAATTTAAAATACATGTGAAATAAACCGATTACATGGCAGTTGCTGTAGAATTCCTATATAGGAAAGAAAGTAGACTTCCTGTATCATTAATTTAGAAAAGTAAGTGAATTACATAGGTAATAGCACTTTCAACATTTGATTTTTCTTAAATATTTGTGAACTGTCAAATTTCCATAACAACTGACTTAATGCACAAAATTATTCACCTTACTCTGTAGTAAACAAAAATTGCTGGTCTTGTTTTGTTGGTTTTGTTTTCATTTTTCCTATTGTTTTTATCTCACATTTGTCTAAATGTGAAAATAATGATGAGAAAGAAAAAAAGGT